AATAGTAATTTTTGCGAAAAGTCATTTTTACGAATTTTGATTTTTGCGAATTGTCATTTTTGCGAATCGCTATTTTTACGAATTGTCACTTTTGCGAATCGACATTTTTACGAAATGTCATTTTTGCGAATAGCCATTTTTGCGAAAAGTAATTTTTACGAATTGTCGTTTTTGCAAATTGTCATTTTTGCGAAAAGCTATTTTTGCGAATTGTCAGTTTTGCGAAATTTCATTTTTGAGAAATGTCATTTTTACGAATTTTGATTTTTGCGAATTGTCATTTTTGCGAATCGCCATTTTTACGAATTGTCACTTTTGCGAATCGACATTTTTACGAAATGTCATTTTTGCGAATAGCCATTTTTGCGAAAAGTAATTTTTACGAATTGTCGTTTTTGCAAATTGTCATTTTTGCGAAAAGCTATTTTTGCGAATTGTCAGTTTTGCGAAATTTCATTTTTGAGAAATGTCATTTATGCGAATTGTCACTTTTGCAAATCACCATTTTTACGAATTGTCACTTTTCCGAAAAGTCATTTTTGCGAATTGTCATTTTTGCGAAAAATACAATAGTGAATCTATATATACCTACAAGTTTACTATTGTATTCTTCGCAAAAATGACAATTCGCAAAAATGACTTTTCGGAAAAGTGACAATTCATAAAAATGGCGATTCGCAAAAGTGACAATTCGCAAAAATGACAATTCGCAAAAATAGCTTTTCGCAAAAATGGCAATTCGCAAAAACGACAATTCGTAAAAATGACTTTTCGCAAAAATGGCTATTCGCAAAAATGACAATTCGTAAAAATGTCGATTCGCAAAAGTGACAATTCGTGAAAATGGCGATTCGTAAAAATAGCGATTTGCAAAAATGTCGATTCGCAAAAAAGACAATTCGTAAAAATTTCGATTCGCAAAAATGAAAATTCGTAAAAATGACTTTTCGCAAAAATGGCTTTTCGCAAAAATGACTATTCGCAAAAGTGCAGTTCGGTAAAATGACATTTAAGGAATAATCATGCGTTCCAACAAAAGAAAAACACTGTTTACAATTTATATGATAGAGCTATTTTATTGTCTCACAATTCAGTTCATAATGAAAACACTAAACGAATCTTTGAAATTTTGGAAAACAACGATTATCCTTTAGAATTTATACAAAAAATATTAAAAAACGAAAACATTCATTAATTCATAAAACAATAGATAAAAAGCAAACTAACAATGTCGTTAGTATTTATCAACAACTACCTAAAGTCTGTATTCCTTTGAATGATATTTATTATCAATTATCTAATATTTAAAAAAAAAAATAATTTACTTTCTATTCCTCTTGTGGAAAAGAGATTAAGCTCTGTAATAAAATTGGGAAAGGACTTGACGAGAAAATGTGATAGAAATAATATTGTTTATAAATTTAATTGTAATAGTTGCCCAGCAACGTATGTTGGTGAATCAAAACGTACTTTGAGAAAAAGAATAATTAGTGAATATAAAAAAACAAAAATCTTGAATCTGTTGTGAACAAACATCAAATTGAATATAATCATTCTTTTAATTTTGACGACGCAGAAATTTTTTAGATTATGAATCTTATAAAAAACGATTAATTTCTGAGATGTTTTACATAAAATGCAATAATTTTACTATTAACATGAAGGAAGATGTACAGTTTCTTAGTAATACCTATTTTCCTTTGCTTAATAAATTGAAATAATGGTTATAATTCATAATATAATATTTCGATTGCGGGTCATTGACCCCAAAAAAGTAAAAGAGTGTTTTTTCTTCTACCTTTTATACGTCTTCCAAAAATCGAAAAAATTAATGTATTTAATAATTGTGGAAGAATTTACAAAATATTAAACTAAACTAAAAGAATTATTTTTTTTAATTTAAGGCTCTCATTACCAAATACCCCGAAAAATAGTTTTCGGCACAAAGTATCGAAGTCAACTTCAAGGACCTCTAAAGTTAGCATTGAATTATTAACATAATTTTAAATTTTTTGGTATTTTTAGTGATAAAAATATTACTAAACATCACTGTTTCCATTCACAGTTTTCTCAAGTTAGCTCCGACGCTTTGAGTCAAAAACTGTTTTTCGAGTACGGAATCCGCACTTATCCGATTTTTTAATTTGAAGTTCCTCGCAAGTTCTTAAAAGAAAGAATACTTTTGATTGTTAGCGTCGACGCTAAATTCAGAAACATTCGTTTTCTTAGGATAATAGAACTCTACATTGTACTACTTAACTCTAAAATTAAAAAAAAAATTGTTAGTTTTTCTGGTTAACTGGAAAAAAAATTTGTCAGCTTTACGTCGATCCTAAATTCAGGGACATCTTAAAGTAAGAAAAAAATTTTATGTTCGTAAACTAATAATATTATTAGATGTGGTATTTATTTCAGAGTGATGTGTAAAGGGAGAAATAAGAAGAAATATACGACATTATTCTTCGAAGTTGCGCTGTGCACGAGTTATTCATTGCTCTTGAGGACATAAGTTCAATTACTCATTTGAGATATTACTTACTGCATTCAGTATATACATTGTAAAATTTATTTTTAAAATTTAACTCAACATTGCGGATAGAGAAAAAATGTATAGTAACTTTTACTATTTGTAAATGTCACTGAAGTTAGCGTCGACACTTATTATAAATAATAATAATAATAAGAAGAATTTTTTGCTTTCGGGTCGCTAATCATCTTTAAATAATATTTAGCTTTTCCATTTATTGACTTCAGGTGGACTTCCAAATCAATTAATTTAATAATTTTTTGAAAAGTTTTTTGAGAATTTCCAAATCTACTTGTTTACAATTAAATTTTACGAAATTTCGATTATTCGGAAATTCTTCAATTAAATGTATATACACGGAGAGAAATCTGCTGCTAATATTACTCGAAAGAGCACATTACTTAAATTGCTTAACGTTTCTCTTATATTTTTAGCATGGATTCATATACTTATTGTAAAAATACTTTCAATGCAATAAGCATAAGAGACAGTAGCTAATTTTGCACGAAATCTTTATTATAAATACAAAGAGAACGTGCTATAAAAGTATTAGATTCTTCTTATAAGAATCGCTCGAACTCCGACTGATTTTCAGGCGGACTTTATACAACACAATCTTACCTGTGTATATACGCACATATAACTCACACACACATATATTTCTCTCTCTCTATATTTGATATTTCTCTGTCCTGTAAAACATTATATATTATATGTAGTATTTAATACTTGTTGCTGTTATAAAAAGATAATATTTATTTAATAGTAAGTATATTAGTTAAAATATATTGCATTTTTATTCGTGTTTGAATGTATAAGCAACATGTGAAAATTGTTAGGTTATGTTATTGCAAACGTCACCGCTTTGTACGCGTTCCGTTCCTCGAAACCATCCAGAGAAATATATGTGTGTGTGAGTTATATGTGCGTATACGCAGGTAAGATTGTGTTGTATAAAGTCCGCCTGAAAATCAGTCGGAGTTCGAGCGATTCTTATAAGAAGAATCTAATACTTTTATAGCACGTTCTCTTTATATTTATAATAAAGATTTCGTGCAAAATTAGCAGCTGCTTTTTGTTTTTATTGCATCGAACTCTCCATTACATTAAATACATGATTTCGTATATAAATTATTATAACCTCAAGCTAAAATTCTATTCAGCAGTGACTAATAAAATTTGTAAAGATTCTGCAAGCAATAATAGCAACAGATTTCTCTTTGTGTACGTATTAAAAAATAAAAGCTTCATATAATTTAAAAAAAAATTCAATTAAACTTTTTCAAAAAAATTAATTCTATAGAACTATCAGTTAAAGGCATTTGAACTATTATTACGTCAGAGTTTGTGCAAAGCATCTGTTCTAAAGCTGTGACGTCATAATGGTTCAAATGCCCTTAGAAAATTGTAATTTGAAACATTTTCAAAATTTAATTTTTTAAAAAATTTACGCTGTAATGCTTTTAATATTCAATTATAATTAAAAATTTTAACTGAAATTCGTTTTTAAATCAATTTTATTAGAAAATTCTACAAGAATTTAATTATTTAAATGCAAAAATAAATAATTTATTGAATAAAATTGAATGTTCACGTCGAAAAATTATGATAATTATGATTGGAGTCTGATAATAATCTCTGTTGTAATTTAATTGCAAAACTTGTTTGAAATACCCTTTTTCAAAAAAATTCCAACAGAGTTTATTATTATTATTAGACTATCTAATCATAGTAGAAAAGTTAAAATATTATTAAAATAAAAAACTTGCAGAATTCCCAGGGAATTTCCAGGGGGTACTTTCATGGAATTTTTATACCTGGATTTCTTAATATTTAATTCTCATAGAGAATTTTATTAACAAACTTTTAAATAATTGAATTCTTTTAACGAATTTTAATAAAATTTTTAAGAATAATTACATTTTTTGAGAAATTTGATAAAAATTGTACTAAAAATTATTGAAATTCTGCGATGAGTTTTATTATTTATGAACACAGTAAATTTTGAGGTATTAAAAAGCGTTGCAGATTAAAGTAACACCAAAAAAGATTAAAATAATCCATTTTGGTGTTATTTTTTATTATTTAAATGAAATTTTTTCTTCAAATCAAAACCAAGTCAACGATTTGTCAAAGAAAGTGAAAGTAAGTTTAAATCTAGGTCTAAGACTAGACTAAGACTTGACTATGACTGTGACTGAAACTATGATTTAGACTAAGACTAGGACTAAGACTATAACCAGTGGCGGATCCAGGGGCGGATCCAGGGGGGTGGTTTGCAGGTCATGACCACCCCCTTCGAAGTTTATTTAAATTTTTTTTAACACTTTCAGGCAATTGGACTTTTATGTCAGACAAAATTTACAACAGATTTGTGAGAATCGGTTGCAGGAAATATGTAAAAAAGGACAGCAAAAATTTATTTTCATTCATTTCTATTTTCTACCTTCTGCTTTAAAGCTGTCATTCTTTCCGTTCTCACATTTATTCCGAGTTGGACTGAATTCGTGCTGACTGATTGGTCTGTAATATTACCGTAAAAGATTACTGGCCAATTAGAAAGCTCTGTTTTTCTGGTGTGCGCAGAACAGCGTGAAAAGGTTTCGTGTGCTCACAGTCGTACCTGGCATAGTTTGATCGTGCTCTTAACACTTTGACAACCAAATAAAAACATAACCTCGGTAAATTCTGTTGCATACTTCTACCTGATTTATTAAAAGAACATTAAAGAAGAAGAAATGTATTTTGTCTGAAGGTTTAAAGAATAAAAAAATGGTACGTTAACTTAAACAATATTAAGTTTGGTTATGATTTGTATTTATTGTAAATTGATTTCTTTAAAGATTGTTTGTTTTGTTGCATGAAATATTGTTACTTTTTTATGAAGTGTATTGTTTTTTTTTGAATGACCCCTTTTTTTGGTTTGATTTAGGCTAATAATGTGATAAATAATGGTGTTGGTTCAAAACGTAGTGCGAGTTCAATACGAGATATTAGCACGTATTTTATTAAAAAACAAAAAGTTGATGAGAATTCTACTGCAACATTGATGGAGGATTTTTCAGTGAAAACCGAGATCGCCAATGATGAAGCTTGTCTTGAGCATGGTGATTTAAAGTTGGTTTCCAATATGCCTGAGCAAGAGGTGCAGTCAACATTATGTGAATTATCAAATGACTCGTTGCAGTCTGATTTTTCTTCAGATATTGGAAATTATATTGGCCAAACATGAATGAATTATCTGATTATACAAAACATTTATTGCTTGAACGACACTGGATGCCACCATCTAATTATGTTTTTCCACATAACATTGTAAAAAAACTAGGAAAGCCATGCAAAAAGTTTGCTCAAAGATCTCATCTTGAGAAATTTCATTGGCTTGTGTTATCTCATAAGGATCAAGGGCTTTATTGTGTATACTGCACATTGTTTGCTATTACTGGAAAAGATTTTGCTAGATCAGACCTCGGACGACTTGTTAAGGAACCACTAAAAGTTTTTGATCGTTTAATGGGGAAAAAAGGTATATTAATACAACACGAAAGCAAGCAGTACCATCGGATGTCAATTAAAATAGGGATAGCTTTTTTAATGAGTTATAAAAATCCTGAATTTGATGTTGCTAATAAAATTGTCACTTCACGAATGGCTCAAATAGCTGAAAACAGAGAACGTTTACGACCAATTATAAAAACAATAATATTTTGTGGACATCAAAATATAGCTCTGCGCGGGCACAGAGACAATGGTCCGTTGCTCACTATCAATAATGATGAAAGTGTAGTCGCAGCTTCAGAAGGAAATTTTAGAGCTCTTTTAAAATTTCGAATTGATGCTGGTGACACAGCACTTTAGACGCATTTGGAAACTGCCAGCTCAAATGCGACTTATATAAGCGAAACCGTACAAAATGAGTTAATAGACATTTGTAAAGCGGAAATTCAAGAAACTATTTTTCAAAACATAAAAAACGCGAAATTCTTTTCTTTAATGTTTGATGAGACGACAGACATTTCTCATATAGAACAGCTGAGTTTATCTTTCCGATATTATAAGGATGGCAATATTAGGGAAGATTTTGTATGTTTCTGTGACGCTTACAATATGGTTGGATGTGAAGAAAAGGACAGCGGGAAAGAGCTTCGATTGACAGGAGTCGCATTAGCAAAAATTGTAGAAAGTCTTTGCCATCAATTTGATGTGGATTTGTCTTTCTGCGTAGGGATTTGTACTGATAATTGTTCAGTAATGGCCTCTGAAGCAAAGGGTGCTGTTCAGGAATTGATAAAAAAAGCCAAACATGCAAGACGTTGTCCTTGCAACAATCATATTTTAAATAACTCCTTGCCTGCTTCTTTAAAAGTTGCATTCTGCAGAAATGCAACTGCGACAATGAAAATAATCGTGGCATTTGCAAATGCATCTGCAAAACGCCATCAAGTTTTCTTAGAAGAATTTAACGGTGTAAAACTTCAAAGCATATGTGAGACACGTTGGGTCGAAAGGCATGATGGCCACTTGCAATTTCAAGGTGATAATCTCGTCAATACTTGTAACGCATTAGAAAGAATATCGACATGGAATGATAGCAAAACTGCAAGCGACGCTCATTCTCTTTTACAAACACTACGCAGTTCCGACTTTATAATATCATCGATATGCTTAAATGATATTTTAGGTACAAAAAAATCGTGCTTACTGCCAGGCAGGCAGGCAATCAGGCAAAATATTTTGATTAATTAACTCATTGTTTTTCATTTTATTCTTTTTAGTTCGACTTATTTTGCCTGATCCGAAGTCAATATCGATTCGGATGTCTTGATCATTAATATAATTATGTTTATTTTACGTTCTAGGTACAACCGTTTCACTAAGCCGTTATTTGCAAACTCCATCGTTAGATATGAAAAGAGCCGCAGACGCACTGGAAGACACAATGGACTTGTTGAAGTCAAAACGACAAAACGTAGAAAATGTGTTTCAGCAATTATTTGCAGAAGCTCAAGAAGTAGCAAGACAATTAGATGTTCAATTAAAATCACCTCGAACTAATGCACGACAAATGCATAGAGCGAATCATCCGGCAGAAACTGTAGAGGCGTATTTTCATAGATCAATCTACATACCTCTTCTAAATTTCATCGTAAATGATCTGAATTACAGACTTTCTCCTGATGTCTTAGACTTATTTCAGTTAGGAGTATTTTTACCGAAATCGACATACTCTGACCAAGACATTGATACTGTCAAAAAAGTTGTACAAATTTATAAATTTTTTTTTAATGACACTGAAACTTCAATTATTAACGAATATCGACTTTGGATGATTAAATGGAAAAGAGAAATAGAAAATAAATCACCTATCCCCGATTCGGTAGTTGATCTAATAGATCACTGTGACAAGAATTTGTATCCGAACATTAATATTTTCTTAATAATACTGGCTACTCTTCCAGTCAGTGCTGCAACTCCAGAAAGGTCATTTTCAACTATTCGCAGATTAAAAACTTGGCTTCGCGCCTCCATGGAACAAGAGAGATTAACAGGATTAGCTCTTCTCAACATTCATAAAGATTTAACGCTGGACATTGATGAAATAATCAACAAATTTTCTAAAAAGAACAGAAAAATTAACTTTGTCATTTAAATAATAGGTACTCTTTGTTTTGAAAATTGTGACCTATTTTTCGTTCTATCTATATTTTATGTATTTTTCTTATTTATTTCTAAAAATAGAAATATATGATTTAATTATTTAAATTTAGTTTAATAAATTAATTGTAGTTGTTTTTATATATTCTTGACCAAAGGCCACAACAAAAATAACAACTAATTTAATAAATTAAGTCAGTCTTCCGGTAAATTTAATTATTATTTAATTATATATTATATTATATTATATTATATTATATTATATTATATTATATTATATTATATTATATTATATTTAATTATATATATATATATTCTGAAAGCTGGATTCGCCCCTGACTATAACTAAGTCTAAACCTTAGCCTTAGACTTACTTTGACTTTCTATGACAAATCATTTACTTGGCTTTAATTTAAAATAAAATGTCATTCATAGTCAAAAATGGATTATTTTAATCCTTTCTGGTGTTAACTTAATCCTTGAGGGATTAAACTGTTGAAGATTATTTTAATCCATTCTGGTGTTATTTTAACATGTCACGATTTACGGTGAAAATAATAATATTCTTAAAACAAATTGTATTATTTATGAAAATAATTGAATTCTTTTGGAAAATTTTATTAAAATAGTAGATATTGAAAATGATTGAATTGAGGAAAATTTTTGAAAATTATTGAAATTAACCAAAAATTTTATTAAATTTTTTAAAAATAATTGAATTTCAGAGACGAATTTTATTATTTATAAAGATAATTGATAAATTTTGATGAAAAATTTTTTTTTCAACTTTTGAATAGTAAGTTATTCGAAAAGATATTATTTCCAGAAGTAGAAAAATTTGTAGATTTTGTATTAGAATTTGTGGTAATTTCATAGTTTATGAGGCAAACAGAAAAGACACAAATATTGAGAATGTTCTTATAGATTCTAAAAATTTAATTTTTTTCCTAAATTAAATTTGAATTAAAAATGTTTACATTTTATTATTTTTAAAATTGCTAATTTTATTTTTAAAAAAGTAACTAAGAAGTTAGGCTTGCGCGAATTGTTGCTATAGTTACAGATTAATCAGAAGAGATTAAGCAAATTATGATAATTTTGACGGAGTCTTACCCATTTAACTTTAAAATTCAATTTCTAAAATTAAGTTGGTTCTGAGAACTATGTTTCAGCTTCATCAAAAGAATTTACAGTTTTCGACGTTAATCAGAAACCTAAAAATTGCAGAAACTGGTGCGCTCTTTAGGTTTTACAACACGAAAGTATAGTAAAAGTTAGTTTATCCGTTTTCTTCGTGAATATCTAAAATTTTGTGAGAGACGTTTCCTGGTACGATATAACCATTCGGATTACAACCGATAAGACGTTATGGTATACACTTTCCACAATATTTCATATTCCACGATTTACAATTCAAATAAAACATGGCCGTCTTTTAACTTGAGGATCAAAGCGCCATGCCAGTACTCTTGAGAACGATTCAATACAGGAAGATATGCATTACAGACGCACATCGTCAATCTTATAATATGTAAAAAAGGAAACAGCGTGTGCATATCAGAAGTTTATTTTAATTTTCCTCTCGTCTCATCTCCATCTTGGGAAATTACAAAACTAAAGAAAAAGAAATGCTTTTTTTCAAGTCTTCGAGAGTATTCTTTCTTTTTTTGATGAATACAGAAAATTCAGTATAACAAATTATTATTCAATTCACGTGCAATGCTATTGCTCCTGTAGCATATATAATGTAAGATAGCGATGACTATCGTTCTGATGTATGTATACGAATTGCCTACAGGACTAGCAGAGATTGAACACACACTCACAATTCTACTCGAGACGGAAAAATGCGATCTGTTATATGTCGGGAGGAAATGAAAACGGGCAATCGTGGCAAGAGGTCGACAACGGTACCAACAACAATGAACATATGGCGAACAGAGAAACGATTTTTATAATCACATTAAATGTGTCTCAATATACAAAATTTATATTCTTTATTTTACATTATTGTGATAAAATTTATTTTTATTTTCCACTGTATAATATAATTCCAAATGATTTTAACATTTTTTCAAATGTTTTTAATTTACAATTTTAAGGAGCGTAAATTTGATCGTAAAGAATAATAGATAACCGCGTGTATAGCACAAAACTTTAGACTTTCCAAGAGAGTTGTTTCATACTTCTTTTATTTCGAGCGAAAAATTCTTTTTTATGGTTACTGTAATCGTTTTCTAAAATGTTTTATGAATCACATTCGGAATATTATTTTCTTTATTAAGAAGTTCCGTTATTGTGGGAAAATTCTTATAATCTTAATCTTATAAAATCTAGTCACTAATTTACAATAATCTGGTCTATAAAGTTTAGTAGAAAAAAATTCTCATAGGGAAAAAGAGGAAAAATGCGATGTAAAAAAAAAATTTTTAAAGTCGAAAAAGTCGTTTATTATATTTAGAGCTATAAAAAATTGGCCTTTTACTTCCTTCACTTTTTTCTATATTCCACACGGAGAGAAAAATCTAGCTTTAATAGTATGACACTACCTATACTAATTTCGCATGGACTATAGTCACGCTTCAAACGCATGAAAACATACCGAAAAACCATGGTGAAGCGTGGACCCATAGTTTTTGGGTCCGTGCAGAAATTTTTTAAACTGTTTTCCTTATACCAATAACTTCAATTCTAAGTTTTTGAAAAATTCAATTATTTTCAAATCATTTTCTGATATTCGTTAAAAATTTTCTTAAAAAAAATATTACTTCTAAAAATTGAAAAAGCGTTTTTTTAAACATAAAATTTATTTTAAAAATAAAACTTATAGTTTTTCTAAAACTTGCAACAGTAATTCTTCTAAAATCTATAATTTTTAACAAAAATTAATTAAAAGTTTAATAATTTTTTAAAAATATGTCTAGGTAATTAAATATTATTTAAATAACATTAACTGAAGTTTTCAAAAAATTTTAATTAGAAACCTTCTAAAATTTAATTATTTTGAAAAATTGCAACTCGAACTTCTCCAATTAATTATTTTGTAGAATTTTTAAACAAAATTCGTCTCAACAGCATGTGATTGTTACAGAATTCAATGTTAATTTTTTCGACCACTTTTCTCTTAAAATATTAAATAAATTAAGCTAATAATTTAATGCTCTACAAGTTGGTAATGATACTTTTAAAGTTACTTTTACATTTTCAACAAAATTTTCAAAAAAGTGTTATTTTCGAAAAATTTAGATTTTGAAAACTTTAATATCTCCGGCCAATATGGACGAAAAATGTTCAATTAGGGCTCAAAAGATGCGTCTGAAAAAACTCTACAAAACTTAAGAAAAACATTTATAGGTGTCCTAACATTTTTTTTTAAGTTATGGCCAAAAAACGTTTTTCTACAAAATGAAAAATGCAAAAAAAATATAGTTAAACTTTATGAATCGGGCTGAAAATACTCTCATTTTATGTCCTCCGGGGCAGAGATGTTAAAAATGGGTCTGAAAACCTATTTAAAATGCTAAATACTAAATGGTATCACAAAAAGTATTTCAAATATAAAATATAAAATAGTTTTCAAAAAGTTATTTTAAATGCAAAATAGAAAATACGCATTTTCAAAATGGTTTTACAAAATAAAATGCTTTTTTTTAAATGAACTTTATTTTTACGTAACTTTTTGACTTTTCCATAAAATAATATTGTATCCCTTATGAAACTGTTTTATATATTATTCTATTAATTTGACTTTATACAATAAACTACTTTTTTAAAAAAATTGTAAGAAAACTTTGTCAGCAATTAAATAAAATATCTCATTTTCGAATGCTTGATGTGAAATCCTATATGTAAATATTGAAACTTTGAACCTAAAAATGTCCGTTTTTAGTATGTAAAAATGAATATTTTCCCATAAAGTTTGGTAAAATTTAAAAGAAAATGAATTAGCCGAAGAATCTCCTTAAAAGAAAAAATTGCTACAATATAAAAAAAATTTTCTTGTATTTTGTATTTTCAAATACAAAATAATGAAAAAAACCATTTCAAATCAAAATTCAAAATGGTTTTCGGCAAATGCACTTAAAATGTAAAATGAAAATAGGCATTTTGCATTTTATATTTTGCATTTGAAATAGATTTATTTGAAATAGTTAACATCTCTGCCCCGGGGAGACCTAAAATTTAAAAAAAAATTGAGGCCTTTAGCTCTTTCTCGTTCTGAGATATTGAGGCAAATGTAATGTTAGTACACACATTCACACACATCGGGACATTTTTTTAAAATCCATTTTTTGGACGTCTGAGATAAAATTACATCAAAAATTTTTTTTATTTATTTCTAACATTTATACGGGCAATGCTCATTTGTGCATAAAGTACTAAAAGATTAGGTATAATGAAAAAAGTTTATAAATATGTCAAAAAATCACAATCGAAAATTTTGCTAATACAATCCTTCCTCTATGAGGAAGCAAAAAGTGTGTTTTTTTACCAATTCTGCATCAGAAAGTCCCCTTTTAAAACAAAAATCTGTTTTATGCTCTAAAAAAACTTGAAAAAAGGTATCCAAGGTATCCAAGGACTATAACTAATTTAAAATTATGAAAATGATTGTTCAACCTTAATAATTAAGAACGTACCTCCCAGCAGCAAATATCAAATGAAACGTGAGCGTTCATATATATTTTAATGAATCTGTGTAATAAAAACTACAAGTTAAAAAAGGGTATTTATCATGTGGTACTATTACATTTCAAAAGAGAATAAGAAGTATCACTTATATATGCTCTCATTCGAGTGGAAAGGAACATTAACCTCCGTGAATGCGTCTTGGCTCGGACCATTATTCCTCGTAAATTAATAAAGTGGTTAACGACGAGAAATAAAGGTTCGGTTCATATGAACAAGTCCCACGATCAACAAATCGA